CACCTGGCAGCACATCCCCTCCTTAGACAGCACAGACACCCACAGAGGCACTGCTGTGCTGCCCCTGGGCTCTGGGAAGAGCACACAGGACACAACTTGCACTTATCACAAGGAATGCTTTCATCTCACCACAGCTCCACAGAGCAGGTGGAACATTCCAGTCTCTGGGAATACCAGTGGCAAGTTTAAGAGCTGTAAGTGTCTGTCCTGTCCTCATCACAAGTTCTCCAAAGCTCTCCACTCATTTGAAACTTTTTCTCCTTAAATCTATTAACTCTGAACTTTATGGCACTGGAAAAAAAAAAAAAAAAGGTTAGCAAATGAATGGATTATAGATGGCTTTTGCATTTAAGCATTATGCAAAATCTTTCCTCCTTCCCACTCCCTTCTTTCTTCCCCAGCTGACCCCCAGCACACAGATTTGCATACTGAACAGAGAAACAGTGACCAGTCCAGCCAGTGCACATGCTCCTGCATCTGAGGGAGCAGCCAGGAGCCAAGGGCTGTTCCCACACCTGAACATGTGTCACAGGAACCACTATCAGACATTTCCAATGTGCCACTGCTCTCCTGGCACACAATCCCCCAGCAGACAGCAGGATGTCCTGCAGTGCACACCAGCAGCTGCCTTAGCCAGGTTTTTGCCCCACATTCAGCAAGTATTCTCTTTGCCAAAGTCACCACAAGGAGAGGAGCTTTGGGAGGAGCACCTAGCACAATACTGGGGACAGAGACAGCACCAAAGTACAGCTCATAGTGCACTGAATCCTTGTTCCCCATAATTCCATAGAAATTACTGTCCTGCTGCTTTTAAGTAAACACAGGGAAGTGCTCAGATACCAGCCAGCTGTACAGAACAAGGACAGGAAGCAGCAAACATGAGCCTGGCACTGTCAGTGACCCTGAAGCAAGTGTCACTCCAGGGCCCAAAACTCAAACTCAGCCCATCTGGCAGCAATGACACGGAGAAAGGCTCAAGCTCCAATACAACCAGCATATCTGGGGATGTAGCCTTGCCTTTTCTGGTTGGGTGGGCTGTGCAGGAATAGGAATACATCCTGCAACACTGCCAACTCTAATTCCAGCCTGCACTGGAGCCATAGCTTTCCCATCTGGAGGATTCCTCTTTCGACCACAAGCCCACTTGCACTCACTTCCTTTTTTATTTAGGAAAATAGTAAAGACCAGAATCTTTTATATAAATTACTTCACTTCTGAACATGAGGTGAGCCAGGCAGCCCACAGCTGTGGAGCAGAAAGGTCTTCTCAGGAACATCTGCACGTGAGTACTGCAGCTGCTGCCACACTCCAGCACACCCTGCAGCTGTAACAGCACAGACACCCACTTCTCCTGGCATGAGCACAAGCCTGTGACTGCCATGTCCCTCCTGCTGCACCTGACAGAAGCAAAGCTTTGTGAAACCGAAGGGAGCAAAGGTACAACTGTGCTGAGGCCGCCATTTGTAGCCCACACCTCAAGAGCCACCTTCTTCCTTCTACACAGCCTCTGAACTGCACCACTGGAGTTGCATGCTCCAGGAACAGCAGGTCTGATGACCTGCAGGATCTCCCCCTGGTGAGAGCCCTGGCTACAATGCCAGCTCCGTGGGTTTGGTTTTACAGACAGTGCTGGCTGCCCTGCAGAAAGGTGGCAGCTGCACGATACTTTGAAACTAAACTAAAAAAGGGAATTTCTTGAGTACTCAAGTCTTCCCATCAGTCTGAACTGAATGCCAGGGAGTTTGCCAGCACACAGGTACTACATGTACTCACTCTTGGAAATCTCTCCAACTTGGACAAAGTCAGGAAAACACAATAAAGTCTGTGTGATTACATGACGACATCAGCTCTTGTGTAAAGAGCAAGTCCCCAAGTTTACAGGCAGGTAAGGAGCAGAGTGCTCCTTCTGCCATGACCCTGTCTCCCTGGTACAAGCACAGATCTGCTACCCCAGTTCTGGAACAAAACAACAACAGTGGAGTTCTTTGATGGGAAGAAAAGCCGTTAGTCTGCAGTTGATAGAGAGGCTATTTCTGGATGACAGGTGATGCAGAGCCTCTCTCCCTGTACACTGCCACATCAAAGCAGAACTCACACAGACAATAGCTCCAGGGAAGCAAAGACCTATTCCTCAGATTGAGAATACTTGCAGAAGTTGAACAACAGGTAGCAAAGCTGTCCCTTGAAAGGTCATGTCAAGGTGTGACATAATGTATTCTGACTGCAGACAGATTTTCGAGACATGGGAATAGCAGGAAAAAACAGAGCATGCAAGGATGCTCTGCACTGCCAGGAACATCACTGCTTACTTATGAAATGAACTGTTTTGGCACAGAGTGACTGCCCAAGCAGGGCATTCTGTGCCAAACAGGCCCAGGGCAGCTCAGCAGCCTGCAGGCAGGCCCATGGGTGGGACGCTGGATAAGGATGCCAGGACAAGCTGCTCACTGCAATCAGTCTGTCCAGTTGATTATAAACGTGGGTTGCCACAAGCAGCACTCTCGTGGCTTCATGGACACAGCTCCCCAGGCAGCTCCCAAAGATCCACAGTGCTGGGAGGAGAACTCTGTGTATTAACATGAAAATCTGCAACTAACATGAAAATCTGCAGAGCAGATGAACACAAAAATGATGTGCCTACAAAACTTCCAAGTTTCAGCATCATTTCCTGTGTCATGCCCTTGAGACAAAAAGCTAAAGAAGAGGCTAAAAGGCAAACAGTACCCAGTATCAGTCTTTCCTGCACCTGACAAGGGTCCAATCACCAGTGAATTCTGCTCCCAGTCTCTGGCACATCTGATGTGGTGGAGAAGCACATGCACACATGTGCCTATTGTGCCAGGGAACCTGGATAGGAGTAGATGCCTTTTTCTGTTTGGGCAGTCTGTCTGACAGGCAGGGGGCACCCCCAGCAAGTATTACCTGACCCGATTTTGATCAGTCCGTTGTGCTGGATGAAGATGGTGTCACAGGTCAGGTTGCCATGGATGATGGGGGGATCACAGGAGTGGAGGTAGCTGGAGATGCAGAACAGAGCACTGGTCAAGGCCTTGAATCCCTCCCTTCACCCCTTCCCATGTCAAACAACATCAGAAGAGAACAGGGCAGTAAATACCACATGCCAGGGATTTACAGTAGCCACGAGATACAATTCAGTGACTGTACATCAGCCTCTAGCTGAGAACCAGGAACAAATAGGAACTGTCTCCAATGAATCTGCACAACATGGGGGGATGGGGGAGGAGAGAAAGCTTTCTCCTATCAGTTCCCAAGAAACTCAGGGTACCAGAGGTAAAGACACACTTTCACCCAACCCAGTACTGCTGAATAGATTCTAAAAGGGTTACAGTTTTATACCAAAAACATCAGAGCCTTATTCTGTCCCTACTCAAAGGAGACCAAAGAGGCACTTAATGCTACACACACACACGTTTGCCAGCTTTTCAGTGCTGGGTTCCAGGTACACTGTTTTTGCATCACACTCTGCTTGGATTGATGTTAGCAGTTAGCACAAATGAGGACAGTCAGTTCCCAGAAGTTTATCAGAGCCCAAACTATTCACCAATTGACCATACAGCCAAGTGGCACCAGAGTTTTCTCTACAGAGTGCAAGCCACGCTTTGTCATCCAGACTATTGCTCCTCTAAGGTTTTAATTAGTTACTCACCAACTCTAGTTCAGGTGGAAAAGAGTTTTTAAAACCCAAAACACGTCCTACTCAATTGTATTGCACTAAGATGGCTGCAGAAGAGCTGCATCATCAAGAAATGTACACACACATCTAACAACACCGTGCCTCAACATCCATGAATCCACTGCCTGCAAGAGAGCTGCAGCCTGCCAATGCTATGGAAGTTTTTCTTAGTCCTCTCACACAGAACTTAATTGCCCTGTCACCTTTGCAATATCCTTCTGACCATGGAGAAACCCAGGTTATAAAGCTGGATACTCTGGAGAGCTCCCTAATACTTAACTGCCACACTCACTGGCACATCAGCCCCAATTGCTGGGATCTCAAGGTCAGTACCCCACGTACCTGAGAGCAGAGAGGATCTGGGTACACCACCGCTTCCATGCCTGAAGACACAAGAGGAAAAGGATAAAAAATCATCCACAAGGAGCTAATCTGTAGTTCTGTGATTCACAGAACCATTCGTAGGAAACAATATATGCTCCAGCTTTTACTCAGTGCAAGTCTAAAGAATCAATCCTCTTATGGTCAGCTTGTTTCTACATATTCCCATGGGTCCAGAAGCACACCTGCCCTCCAGAGTCTCCCGTGCACAGACACCTTCCCCCTTTCCTGTAATGGCCCCTGGAGAGGGACACGCCTGTCACACCACACCTACGAAGCTGCAGAGCTGCTGGCAGTAAAGCAACCAGCACAGAACTGCTGTCCCAGAGAACCTGCAGCTGAACTAGGTTACAGGGACACAGGGAACTGCAGCAATGTTCTCACTGGGATCCTCTGCTGAAAGGGCTTTCCAGGAGCTGATGGCTCTAAAGAATTATGGTCAGACAGAAAGAAACAGTTACCTTTTCATTCATAGTTTTGTGGTTTTTCTTTGTCTTCTTCAGGAACTGTTTCAAGCTCCCTGAAGACATGTACTCAGTGATGAAGATCACCTGTGGGGCAGTATGACACGTTACCCTCCACCTTGCTTATTACCTAAAAACACACAATGAGAACCCAACAGCCTGATGGCTGCACTCACCCTGGCCTTGTTCTCTTTCACATCAGCCCAGTATTTGTGGAACTTCACAATGTTGAGATGATCCAGTTGAATTAAGTTGTCAAACACTGCTTTAACTTTTTCCTTAACATAGGAAAGACAAAGACATGTCACAACAGAGACCACACCAGCCTACATCCTTCTTTCTTTTTGGGTCTTGGTCCCCTCAAACACCAACATGTATGTCAAGCCCCTATGCTAAGGACAGCATCACATTTTCTTCTGCTCTGCATCTCAGCAGAGTGTGGTTTGATTGCTAAGTCTAAACGAACACAAGGGCTCATGGAAATAACAACAGTTTTCCAGGACACTTCCTATGCAGACCAGGCTTAAGCCAAATTTGCTACATTTGGACAGCACAGCCAATAATCCACACAAGAAGTCCCCAGTATCCGTAATCCCACCCCAGGGCAAGGCACATTTCTCAAATTCTGCTGGGAAACACATCAACTTACTTCCTGAAGCTTGAAGTTCTTCCGCTCAGAAAACTGAACTTCATTCCAAACAACTTCCACACCCTCCTCCGTATCCATGGCCAGGTAGGCACTGTCAATCCCTGGGACATTGCGCTGGTTCACCTGGAGGGAAGGGTGGAGACACCTGTGAGCTCTCAGTCAGCAAGACCAGATCATTGCCACGCAGCACTCATTGGAGAATTACGAACTCTGCTCATCAACTTTTAATTAAATTAAAATTCCAGGGCAGGATTTGCACACATATCTTGGAGCAGGGCATATCAAAACTTCAGTCATGTCAGCAGCAAGTCCTGAGCACACCGGTGGGAAAACCTCTTGTGCACAAACGCTGTGCTGTAACAAAGCTGCCTTCTGCCAGCAATACAATAGATTTTCATGATTCAAGACACATGTAGTTCATTCCACCACAAAAAAAAAACCGCACTCCAACAATACAAAAGGGAAACAGAAATGTCTCGAGAACTCAGATACAATCCTCTGAAAGGCGATGACACCTGAAACTCAGTGAAAGCAGAGAGGAATAAGGGGAAACCTGAAGCTTGGGAGGTGGGAGCCAACGACACAAGGGAGCCCACTACAGTAATTTCTTTAGTTAATAATTGTAAACATTGACCCAGCACAAGTACATCCACACTGAATATTCAACACACAGATGAGCACTCAGAAAGCAGCAAGGTAAGGGGAGGAGATTGAGAGTTTAGAGCCCAGCAGAAGGATGGCAAGGGCTGTGGGAGGACAAAAGGCTGAAAGACCTGCAAGAGATCACAGGTGAACCCTGCTCCCAGCAGCAAAGTTTTCCATAACATTGTTTTTCTTCAGATATGTAGCAGCACTCAAAGACAAACGTGGTCTCTTTCATCCAACATCCATGGCATTTACTGTAATGCCTGTGCCAGGCAATTTCACAGCAGTCACAGTCATGGTGAACATCCCACTGCACCAGGCAATATGCAGTGACAGAACTGAATTCAAAGCACTTAGACAGGACAAGAAGGCAGAATTCACCTTTTAACTGGCAACTGGCAACCATTATTGTTCCCATCTGCTGACCACACACCAAGAATCACTTCACAGATTCATAGGATAACCTGAGTTGGAAGAGGCTCACAAGGATCACTGAAGTCCAGCTTCTGGCCCTGCACAGGAAAACCCCAAGAATCCCACTCTGTGTCTAAGAGCACTGCCCAAACACTCCTTGAACTCAAGCAGGGTTGGTGCTGATTACCAGGCTTGGCAGCTTTCAGCTAATCCAATTTCCCCCCTGAGATAACAGTTTACACAGATCTGCCTGGCAAATCCAGACTCATCTTCTACTTCTATCATCTCCAAAACCTGGCCATTTCACAGCTCCTCCTCATATTGCATCACCTTCTTTTCCCTCACTAGGGACCCATCAGCATCTTATTGCTGGAAACTTCTCACCTTATGTAAGAGCTCCCTCAAAAATCCCTTCTCCCCTGGCAGCCACTTGCACATGATCAAATTTCCCCAATTTCGTCATTCCAGCTGAATTACTCTATCCCGTTCTACTCCTTCCTTCCTGACAACACAGAGTGACAGGCCACCAGTACAGGTGGGATTCTTTATGGTCTCCCAAGGGACTCTGAACAGGCCGACTGACATTTAATACCCTGGCACTGCAGTGACAAATGATGCCAAGCACAGTAAAAGCAGAGTGATACAGACTTCTCTGGCAGCTCAGCAGTAAACGAGTATGACACAACCAGCTGGCTGCAAGGCGTGGCACAGGCAGGAACAAGGGGTACAGGCCATAATTCCACAAGGAGAGCCTGAGCTACAGAGGACAGCAATGGAAAATCATCACAGGAGGTGACAGCCGAGTATGAACCACCCCACTGCCCTCCACCTGAGCCACCTACACAACTGAGGGTGAAAGGACTGAGATTTGCTTTAGGAAGACATTCACATTGATCTTAAAAACTTGATTTTATATATATATGTATAAATATACTGATACCAACAGGCCAGGCCTGTTATGTTTCATCATTAAAGCTGAACAAATTTAAAAAATTGAAGATAGAACATTTATTCCTTCAAATTTTAGAATAAGCAAGATCTTAGGGATGACAGCAGCATAAAATCACCCAGTACAATTACTAGAGCTGAATGGCAAAAGGATTTAACTTCAGAGAAGTTTAAAGAAGCCCAAGGCAGCAGAAAGGCAGGTGTGTGAGAGCAGTAAGGGCAAGGTAACAGCCACCACACTGACACCCAGTGCCCCTGCATCTCTTTGGATACTCTTTCTTCATCTCACTTGCTGCTTGTTCACAGAAACATCAAGGCTGGAAAAGACATCTAAATCAGGGAGTCCAACAGTTAAAGGCCCTCTACTGAGAAGCCTCCAGCTTTACTGGATTGAGTAAGTTCTCAAGTACTAGCAACTACTGCAAAAGTGCAGCTAGGGCTGTGGACTTGTCACATCTCCCACTTCAGGCCAAGCTCCCCAGGCATAAATGATTTCCATGACTCATAAGCAATATTCCAGATCGCTAGATATGACTCAAGACACCAAACCCAGCTGACATCACTGATGGCAATTCTGTTTCTCAGGAGATTCGACAGCTTGGGGAGAAGAGTAAAAGGGGAAAAATGCAGACAAGCAACTGAAAGGCAACAGCAGATTCCTCCTGTTTGCCAAATCCCTACCACACATCCCTTTCTATGCTTGGCAAAGCAGAATCCTAAACCCTCCTGAAAGCGATGAGATAATGACTCACTCTGATGTTTGTCCCACACAGCCCCAGACTAGGCAGCTTTTACTCTGAAGGAGGAAGTGACCTGAGCCCAGCTTAGCCCGAATTTCTGCAGCACAGCAGAGGAAGCAGCTCCACACTAGAGAAGTACCAACACAGCTCTGAGTCCATGTAAGCAGGAGCCAAGGAAACTCAAGAAGAATTTCAAGTGAATTACTTAAAGGAGTATGGGTGGAGTTGCACAACAGCTCTAAGGGAAAAAAAGTCTGGAAGTTAAATTTCCTTTTGGAAGGTTATTCCACTGCCCAGTGCATATTTTTTCACAGCTCTCAACATCTGTCTATCTGTTGCTGAAAGAGCACAGATTTCTGAAGAGACATTCTGTAGTTCACACAATCTGTCAATTAAACAAAAAAATAAAAACAGCCTAAATCACAAGTGACAGCGATGATTTACAGTCTAGGAAAAAAGGTATAAAAACTGAGGAAAAGCCCACAATAACTAGAGTATCAGTACAGAATGGACTTACACATTGAAAAAGAGCTGGGGAATGGCTGCACACCAGGCCAGATGGTCACAAGAAGCCCAGATTTGGTCAGAGCAGCATGAATATGTTAACCGGTTTCCCTGGCCACTTGTTTAAGCCAGAAAAAGGTGTAAGCTCTGCCCAACCACCTGGCAAATGGTTGAGACTAGAGATAAGGGACCCCCAGAGCCAGCAGCTGGGCCATGAAGAGCTCAACTTCTCCTTGAGCTGTGGGGAAACAAAAAAGCAGCAAAATTTCCAACAGAAACTGAACAAAAATGGCTCTCTGGAATCTGAGACTAATTCAGAATGCAACACGATAAAGAATGCCAGGTCCATTGCAAGCAAAGGGAAAAGAAATCCAACAAAGCAAAGAAACAATCCTACTTCATGTTTTAATTAAACTGACACGTTGGCCTTGGCAATTACAGCCATGGTAGTAAAATGCTTGAAAGGCTTTAATTCAACAAGAAAATGAAAATAACCAGTGTAATTTAACAGCAGCAAGGAAAGGAAGCTATTGATTATTACTATGGCTGTACAGACCACTTCATGCAGCAACTAAACTGGAAGGAAAAGACACTCTGACCACCAGCAATACAATAATTGGTTCTTCCAGACATGCTGCAACAAGTAACAAGATCAAACACATCAGCTAGAAGTTAGTCTGTTAACCCAGTGGAAACATCTGGACCATTTAAAGACAGGGTTCAAGGTCCTTCGCGTGCTGAAGTTCTCCCTGACTCAAAACTTCACTGCCCCAGTTCAGGAGATGCTGTGCTGAGACCAGAGCCAAAAGCTGCCACGCCCTTTAGGCACCACAGTCCATGTCCCTGTCACTTCCCGTGGGTCCTGCTCCGTGCTGAGCCCTGCTGGGAGCCAGGACACCCTGCAAGGAGCCCAGGCCCCTGCTGCCAGCCAGAGCTGCTCTACAGGAAAGGGGCAGGTTTAGAACCACTGCCCGTGTCACAACACCATTCTACAGGTGTCACGCAGTGGCCATCCAGCCTCTCCAAAAGCCCTCTGACAATTCTGGCTAAACAACACACTGCAGGACAGACCTAGCTACAAATTCCTGCCAGGTAATTCCCCAGGCAGTAGATCAGCAGTTTACAAAAACACAGAAGTATCACAGGAGTCAAGATACTGGGAATAGAAGCAGCACTTCTCTGGCTACAGTCACTGAGTTTGGAAAAGCGGTCTCAGATCATCGAGTCCAGCCACTCCCCCAGCACTAACAAGGCCACCACTAACCCATGTCCCCAAGTGCCATATCCCTACAATTTCTTAATTCCTCCAGGGATGGGGACTGCACCCCCTGCCCTGGTCAGCCTGTGCCAAGGCTGGACAAATCTTCAAGGAAGGAATTTCCCCTTAACACCCAAGCTGAGCCTGCCCTGGCCCAGCCTGAGGCCATTTGCCCTTGTCCTGTCCCTGTTCCCCCCCTGGCTGTCCCCTGCTGTCAGGGAGTTGTGCAGAGCCACAAAGTCCCCCCTGAGCCTCCTTTTCTCCAGGCTGAGCCCCTTTCCCAGCTCCCTCAGCCTCTCCTGGGGCTCCAGCCCCTTCCACAGCTCCATTTCCCTTCCCTGGACACGCTCCAGCCCCTCAGTATCTCTCTTGTTGGGAGGGGCCCAGGGCTGACCCCAGGATTTGAGGTGCAGCCCCACCAGTGCCAAGTATCCCACAGGGAGATAGGCATCATTCCATCTATTTAATGGATATCAAAACCGAATACATATTGCCTAATGCAAGACCAAAGGAACGAGAGCTCAGTTTCACTTGCTGCTTCAAAACAAACAAGCATTCCAGTGGAGTCCAAGAGCTCAGTCACACTGAGCTGGTCAATGGAAGGAGGAAGAGGC